AAAGCATTGATTCTTATTTTCATTTTCAGGATAATATCTCATTTTTGCATGATTTAATCCATGTTAAAATATGGTCAAATTGATGATTTAACATTATTAAGGAAACAAATCAAAATCTCCCAACTTTGATTAAATAGGATTAAAAAGAGTCCCATCAAAAGAATTTAGTAAATTTATAGGTGGCACTGGGCTTAAATTAAACTGTCAATTAGCAAACCCAATTTAGGCAATTCTTTTTCAAAACTTCAAACATTCATAACTTTGCTCTGAATAAGGTAATTTGACTGAATTTTTCAATATATTCACTTTTCATTATCTGCATTTGAACTATTATATCAAGAGTGGCCACCCCTTTATCTAAATCTTAAATAATGCAAATTTAAATTGTCTACAGTTATTATACTTAACATTTAGAATAATTTACTTAATTTAGAACCAATGTTTGTCAGAAGTACCACAAAAAAACTTGTAAATAAAAGTGTCAGAAATACTTGAGAAGTAAATGTACAGTGATTATTACAGTGTTTCTCTTAATGAGGTAATCTTCACGTTTTAAATGAGCTGTAAGCTTCCTGTATGCTAAAATATAAGGGTTCACTCTCGTTTTTATTTTCAAATGGCTTCCGTCAAATGATGGTTTATGTACCGTTATAAACTAGTTGAAGCTTGAAATATCTTCAGAAGTTATTCTATAATTATGAAATATTTAGTCTGTTTTCAACAACCATGAAACAGATTTTTAAACGTTATCTTCACAATCTTTGTCTTAATTTACCACTGTAATAGTTCAAAATAGAATTATAATATTCAGACACTGTCTAAGTTTACGTTAAGGGTCATGGAAAGATCAGATGTGTGCACAAATTATGTCCTATTTTACTTGAAGACCTTTAGTTCATATTAGAGATTTGCAAATTTTGTTGAAAATTGAACTTTTAATTAAAGCTCTAATAAATTTGTAACATAAAAGTGCGACGGTATCCTTTTAAGAATTGAGCAGGCCTGGAAATTACAATTTTATCTGACAAACTCTCTGGCACCACTGAACTAGTACTGGACATTTTGAACTTTGCGCAGCACATATATTATTATCAATAATTTGTGCCTGAAAATGTCTGCATCATAATAGATGCATTATTTCCTGGCCTGAAATTCACAAAAGACTATAATTTGGGTATTTTGAAACATAAGATATTTTTTCAATGATCATGTGTGCAATACAATAGAGGAGAATTTGACCCAGGCAATGACATGTACACCTAATCTTTATTGAATTATATTTGTAGGTAATGGAAGCATTTACAAAAAACTAAAAGTAAAAACTGATCAAAGTAACAACCCATTAAGAAATTATCAGAAATAATTAAAATTTGATTGACTATTAGTGATTCCTACCTAGTGCTAACATTTATTACAGAAAACATGTACCAGTAATCAGAAGATAAGAGAGACAGAAATGGGGTTTAACATCCACTCGACACAAACTAGGTCATTTCGGGACTAACATATGGTTTGATTTTATTTCAATAATTCGCTAGCGCCTAGGGGTCTTTAGCAGTGAGAGGAAACCAGAGGACCCAGAGAAAACCCACGAGGTTGGACAAGCAACCCTATTCCTTGTCACGTACAACCAGGGATTCGAAACCACGCCAGTTGACTCAATGACAGGGCTTATGATACAGCGTGCACATTCGGCCATCCAACCCCCCTAATCAGAAAATAACTTTGGCTGTTCAAGTTATCAGAACTAGTTGAAATTAAACAGGATTTTCATATATAGATTTCAAATCCATCTAATGGAAACTTTTAGAATGTCCACATGTTCCAAAGTGATCAAGGATTGTGAATCGTGTGGTAATTTTACCCTCTTAAGCATCCATGAGCAATGGGGGATGACAGACTGACAGCAGTGGCAACAAATTTCAATCTCAGTGAGCATTTCAATGTGAGCGTTTAAAAATTGATACAAAATAACTGTATTATTTATTAGACAACTGCACTTTACATCTTTCAAAAGAGAATTGCGAAAAAGAAACATACCTCTTAAATAGATTTATTATTCTTCAGATATTATTTATAGTTTTGTAAAGTTGAAAAAGTACAAATTAATTTGCAAGGGAATTCTTTTATATATTTAAAATGAATAAATAAATAAATAAAAAAAAAGACCATATGTTTCCTGATTCAAGTCTTAAATCAAACTTATTTGATGATTTTTTTTTTAACCCTTTTGCTCTCTGAAATATGATTTATTAAATATTAAATAATATATTCAACATGCACAGAAATGAATCATTATTGTAAATAATGTATTTTGCATTTTTTTATCAAATAATAATGTTTATTTTCTTTGCTGCTTGATGTAAAATGTTAATGAATAAACTGCTCTGCCATTGAATGAGCTGCATCTTCAGTATTATTTACCAGTCTTCATTAGCCCAGTTGGTGTAGACAAATAGGACATTAAACCTCATTTTCTTTTCATTTCTTTAAGTACTGGTGCTAAGTTTTTTATGTTCAACCACCTCCACCCTATATACCACAAATATTGTCAGTACAGGCAGATTTCTGTCAGATTATGCAACCTAACAATTATTACATATTTTAAATATGTTTTTATATTTGTTTGGCTCGCTAACCTGGGGGTCACGAGTTTGATCCCAGTGTTGGACGACAATATTCATTGGGGTTTTCAGGTGTGGCTCCTCCTTGTCAGTGGTGCAGGACAGAGGGCCTGGAAAATGACAACGCAGTCATTTGCATGGAACGAAAATCGAGGTCCTGTGCACACATGCATGTAAAAGAACCCTTGACAAATGGAAATCGATATTAAAGTAGGTCATAGTGCCTGACAATGGACAACACATAGTTGCTCGAATGGCTAAAAAAATCAAGGTCCTGTGTACATGTGTAAGTAAAAGATCCCTTGTCCGGGCAAAATTTCTCTCATAGCACACTGTATCCAAAAGTCTGTCTTCATTTTATTTTATATCTGTAACCCATGTATGATTTTAACCTCGACAATTATCTCTCTTCAATAAATAACATTTTAACACTGATCAAATAAGTAGAGAAGCAACCCCTATAACCAGAGAAGATAGACGAACTCCTACTGTAGTGATAAAAAAATTTATTGGTAGACGTTTCCGACTGGTTTGTCCTTCTTCAGTACTTTACGAGAGTTATTGTCGTCTTCTATTGCTCATTTTAACACTGATCAGATGATTTTGAGAACGGGAAACACAAAGAAGAATTTGTATTTACATGTATTATATATATTAATAATAAATACCAAATTATAAACTAAGAAGAGATTACCACCAGTAAAATTGTTTTACTTCAACAGGGAATTCCTACACAAACCATATCATATAGGTAAGTTTATTTGACCAATCAAAGTGTCGCCATTTCAATACAATAACTAAAGGAAACGTTTTTACAAAAATCGACACTGAAATGTTTGTTCAGAAAATAGCATTTGAACGGGACTAGTTGGCTGGCCCCTAATTACCTCAAAATGTCAGGTCTCCAGTTACTGAGACTCAACAGAAAGGATGCATTGTCCGGTACTTCACTAAGCAAATACAGCTTCTCCATCACTCATATTTGTATGACTTTTGGCACAATCAAAGCCATTTTATTACCAAGAATGGAATCTAATTATGTATAAATGTCAAAATAATAATTCAAGGGAAACATTTATTTTGAATAAAAGAAACACTTGTTATGAAATATAGAGACTATATAGATTTTAAAGCAAAAATTTTAGCCCTAAATTTTGTCCGAGCATTTCCACTAATAAGATTAACAAATATATATAAAAGACACAGACCCAGAGTTTTCACAGAGTTTAACTTAATTTTAGTAAAATCATACATTATTTAAAAAAAACCATGATTCTCTCTCAAACCTTTCTGTTATGTGTAGGTCATTTCAGAGCTAAAAAAGTATGGTTTAATTTTTTTATTTCAATAATTTGATAGCGCATAGGGTCTTTAGCAGTGAGACGAAACTGGAGGACCTGGGGAAAAGTCCACGAGGTTGGGCAGGCAACCTCAGTCCTTGGCACATACAAGTGGGGAATTGAAACCACACCACTTGACTCAAAGACAGATCGTAAGATTTCATGCTCACGTGTTAAACCACTAGACCATCCAACCCTCTCCCCCTTTTAGAAATGTACTCAAATTGTTCTGATGTTAATCAAGTAGTGCAATGTGTAACTTTGGCTCAATGAAATAATGTATCACATTGAGACATGACTTCACGAATAATACAATGAGATATAAATTGAAAACTTTAATTAAAACATGTAGCGCTAGGTCACTTTTTTTATTTCTATGATGTTTAAATCAAAAAGTTCTTGAATAATATAATTTCAGAAAAGTACTCAAATTGTACTCGTGTTGGTCAAGTAGGTAATGTGAAATTTTGGCTCAATGAAATATTGTATCACAGATGACTTCACTAATAATATAACGAAATGTATGTTGAAAATGTAAAAACATATAATGCTAGAACACATTTTCTCCAGTAGTTGTAAACTTTACTCGTAAAATGTACCTGTTGATGCCCAATACGAGATGGTCTTTCTATCGGTTCAAATTCTTATATTACAGTTTGTTTTCAACAACATTGTTTTATCTTTAGAAAATCACTAAAACAGGAAAGTTTTGTTATGGTTCTGATTTGATGAGTTTCACTTACATCAAGGTGTACTGTCTGTAATAATGGAGATATCAGCACAATGGATCGCTTTATGATATCTTTATTTATATGTTCAGTGTATGCAAAATATGAAATTTTGACGTCTTAAAAATCTTTTTTTCTTTCATTTCTAGACAACTTTACAAAATAATTTTTTTTTAACATTTGGTTGTTTAATATAAAGTCAGTCAGTAAAAATAGGCCATTAAACTCAGTATTTGTAGAGGTTAAAATTCTAACATGCAATAATTCTTCTATATACAATAGTATACAATGAAGTATATTTTACTTACCCACGGAGAAAACAGAATCCATGTACACACACAAGGATATTTCCAAAAGCATCAACTTTCAACAGATTACCATAAAGACTGTCAAACCATAACCCTCTGAAATATAACAAATTAGTAAGTAAACAATCGTAGGGGTCCTATTAAGGCTGACAACTATCACTGAAAAAACTTCAATGAAATGAAATGAAATGGGGTTTAACATCCTACTTTTCTGCTCCGACTTGGCTAATGAAAACAGGCATATGCCATACAGTGTGCTATGAAGGAAATTTTGCCTAACAGCAGCACCACAGCCTACTCTTGTGCACACTAATGTGTACACAGGACCTCGGTTTTCCATACCATCAGAAAGGCTAAACTAAATGTCCAAATTTCAACAAAAAAGAAGACAATATTTCACATATTTTTTTAAACTCACATTAGCAAGATATTTCTTTAGCATTATCATTAAGTTTTAACACAAAACTATAACTTTATTCATTGTTTCATAAGGTTAAAGTCTTTGAAAATCTAATTTTATAGTTCGTAAATTGACTGACAGGTATGTTCTACAGCCGGTCAATTTCACTGCCAGTCAGTGAAGGCTGGTGCACACATGACTGACACGAGAACCCCCCACCATTCTTCTTCACGTTTAACATCCTCTTCCACCGATGATGATATCGCAGACAACCCTTGACCATAGAACTTATGCAAATTTAACAAACTAGAAGCAAAATTTTAATAGGTGTATCCGGATTATTGAAAACAGATGCTGCCCCCTACTGATTTATCTTGCTATTATCAGGGTTGTCTCACCTTGGGGCAATCTAATACATTATATAACAATTTTAATTACCCAGTACCACTATAGACCTGTATAGATGTTTAATATTCTAACCAGAAAAGTCATCATTATAATAAAATATAAACAATACATAAATCATACTAAATAATCTTTGTGTTCCCATCCCAGTAGCTACTAAAAAATACAACGCCATCTCATCGGTGTGAAAATGTTGTTTGTTATATCATTCTATAAATAACTTTAAAACTATACTTGAATTTTCAATAACAGCAAAAAACTAAAATATCAAATAATTGTTGAGCTAAATAATCCGGTCAAATTTCTCCAAACATTAACCAGTCTGGGATGAAATCACCGTCTGGAATATCTGGCCCAAATAATCTTCTATTCAAACAACATTGAAAAAAAACATCTGTCAAGCTATGAGGGACATTTTTTTCCCACACAGCAATTAAATCCCAACTGTCATGGGTTCTTTTACATGCGCGCAAATTGGCATACAGAACCTCAGTTTTTGGCCAAATTTGCATGACTAGATGCTGTTCCTTGCCAGGTCTTCTGACCTCTGTCCTACACTACTGACAAGGGAAAAAACCATGCTGGAAAATCCTGGGGAACTTTTTCGGCCAATCTTATAAAAGGCGAGTGATTAACGATTAGTATAAAGATACAATACCAGGTGGGTGAGGAGAAAGAGAAATGGGGGTTTAACATCTACTCAACACAAACTAGGTCATTTCAGGACTAACATATGGTTCAATTTTATTTCAATAATTTGCTAGCACGTAGGGGTCTTTAACAGTGGGGGGAAACCAGACTCCTTGTCACGTACAAATGGGGAATCGAAACCACTCCACTACTCAATGACAGACCTTCAAGTGGGTGAGTGGTGGGGGTTGTGGGCATTGGTCCATCCAAAAAACTAGATACACTCTCCTTGTCAACCACAACAAATAAGTAATCAGTGGATAAAGTCTTTAATATCAGCTATCTTTGTTCCTCTTATTTTCTCTAAAACCTTTTTAGATTTCATATACCAGTATTCTGTGTATGTATAAGTCTCTAATTGAGATTTGCACCAAACCAAGTCAAAGTAAAACTATTTCTTATTCTTATATCAATACTATAACAAATGTTTAAAAGATAAAATTACAAAATGAAGATGTTTCCAAGATAATTAAAGTTTTTCATACAGTCGGTTCAAACAAAAAAGATCTTTGAAGTTTGAAAACTAGTTCCTCTTAACCTGAGGGCAAAAAGCAGAGAATCTTTGTTTTTAACTCATCAACAAAACTAAAACCTATAAAAGTCTAAAGGCTGGCTCACTCAATGTCATATATATTTTTAAAGTTATGACAGTAGCCATGAGACTATTATTCTAAAAGACGGTGCCTTTAAATGTTTTGACAGTAGCCATGAGTCTATTATTCTGAAAGATGGTGCTTTCAATGTTATGATAGTAGCCATGAATTTATTATCCTGAAAGACTGTACCTTTAAATGTTATGGCATTAGCCACAAGTCTAGTATTCTGAAAGATGGTGCCTTTAAGAACTGTAATGCACCAAATGGTCAATGATGTTAAAAAGAGGAATAAGTAAGGAATAAAATTGCTAAATGTTTGTTTTTGAACTGCTGTATGTTTGCAAACCCTAGTTGTGAGCTTCGTGTTATTCCCAGCTGGTTTTGTTGTAAAATATTGGCCTCCCAGACGGTTGAATATAAAACCTAACTAACCGAGGGTTGACAACTGTTGGTGTGTGTATGATGAAATCACGCTGTATGTATTGAATGATAGTCACATGTTTACAGACAGGAAATACAGAGGCAGAAATCAGTTTTTCTTTAATACATCATACCATTATTCTATGTTATAATAACTCAAAGAGAGAGACAGAGAGAGAGAGATGTGGTTTAACATCCACTCGACACAAACTAGGTCATTTCAGGGACTAACATATGGTTCAATTTTATTTCAATAATTCGCTTATGCTTAGGGCTCTTTAGCAGTGGGTGGAAACTGGACAGGCGACTCTACTATAATTCAAAGGAAGATTGGTGCAGAAATAAAAGAGTTAAAGATGCATTAGGTAGAGCTATTAAATCTGCCTATTGCAGGTCTGTCTTTTGGTTTCAAACGTGATATAATTATTATCTAAACATTTATTAACATGACTCTAGACCATCAGATGGACAATCGAGGCTAAGTCACGGTTTTCAAGTACTGTTGCTACAATAATGAACGATCTACGCTATATCTTCAAACCGTCATAACTTCACTCAGAATAAAGTAATTTGAATGAAATTTTCATTATATTATACATTTTTCGTTATCTATTTTTGAACTATTATAGTGAGAACTGTCAGATCTTTATCTAAATCTTACATACTGCATCTTTAAAGGAAGAGTTGAATGTATTATATGGCTATTTTGGTAGCAATCACCTCAGTTTTTGTACTCGAAAAAGGACTCATGAACAATATCTTTGACTGGGTTGTACTAACATATTATGGGGCAAATACAAGACTTTTAAAAGGAAGTGTGTGAAGCAAAGTCCTGTCAAATGTAGAGATGCAATAAATTTTGGTTGATCGCTTCTAGTGATTTTTCCTGAAAGATCAAAACATGACGACGTCACTTAAATATTTCAATTTGTTACATTAAAACTGCTTTTGACTAATTTACATTCATATGTTCGCACAAAGATCATACTAAATGAATATATTCTAGCTATTTGAAGCTTAATAAATTAAAATATACTGTGTATGTTACAATATAGTGGCCTGCAATTAGGTATTCAAAATGACTTTATTAAGGTGACAATCAGTGGCATTAATTTTAATTTAATTTTTCTCTCTTCTATAAATTTAGCTTTTACTTTTACTAAAAAAAATTCTAATACACTATTTTCGAAATCTATGACTTATTCTGTTATAAACAAATTCCCAGATTACAAACACTGGAAAAAAAATCACAGAAAAATACAAAAAATAAGGGTGGACGCTTAAAATAGAGTTGAATCTAACTGTGCTTTAATTGAGTCATCCAGAGATTCTGTTGTCAGTCCTGGTAACTTGAACCAGAATCGAAAGTGAAGACAGGCATTCATTTACTAGAGACAACAAACTCTGTACTGTCAACCTACACAAGAACAATAATCGCTCTCCTAACACAAGTCACGAAGATATAAACATGCAGATACAATACATCATCAAAAAATTCCATTAAACAACATATGTACTGTCTTCTATTCCCTTCCAAATACCGGTAAATAATAATAATAATAATAATCGTTTTCGTCTTTTCATCAAATACTGATCTTACTACCGGTATTTGAAAGTCATTAATCACATGTTATTTAAATATTTGATCATTTTTGTACTGTCTTCTATTCCCTTCCAAATACCGGTAAATAATAATAATAATAATAATTATAATTGTTTTAGTCTTTTCATCAAATACTGATCTCACTACAGTAGAATCTGTATGAGCAGCCCCTCCTATTCAGCGACATCTCCTTGTAAGCGGTCACGATAAATTCCCCCTGTAAAAATTCTGTTGTTTCATCTCTTTATTCAACGGTCACTCCTCTTACGTGGCCAGCGGTCACTATTTTACTAATAAATTCAACAAAACATCGCCCATTCAACGGCCATTGTTGAATGATACCCTCTTGTCGTTCTTTGTAACACCCACGCTAATCCCGTGAGTAGTAGTTAATTAACTAGACCCCCACTGATCAGGTAAAAAGAAATGTAAAAATAACAAACAACCCGGGATTATCTGTTAATTAATCTTTTGTTTTATTAAACGACTAACCTGATCATTGTTTTCACGCGTAACGACACATTAATTGATACTGATTGAATAAATAAAAGTACCGAGTTTTGTCACGATCATCTAGTATCTCTTTTCCAATGCCACTTTGTTGTTAAACAGACGTTTTAGCACCTCCTATAATGTTACATACACAGTTACACCCCCTGTAAATAGGTGATAAAATCAGCGATGTTTTTTTGTTCATGTGCTTTTTTGATAAAATAAAATTAACTCATCGATTTTCTTCACAAAAATGGATAAATATTATCAAATGCATCACAATGGTAGACAGTAGTATCGAAGGTTGGTACAAAATGACATGTTTACAGAAGTTATGTCCGAGATTTGAGTAAAGAATTTTCGTCCGGCGTAAGATTCAGCTACAGTCAAATTTACCGATGCAAGTATTGATGTTCGCTTCCAATGCCTCCAAGCGTAATATTTAATTTATGTCAGCACAAAAAAGCACCAAGATTTTATTAAGAGGCCACAAGCGGTCAGTTGTGAAAATACCCTTGGGTGGCTGCTTAATGCATATTCTACTGTATTTGAAAGTCATTAATCACATGTTATTTGAATATTTGATCATTTTAAATTATCAATGTTTACATTGCTTTTGGTGCTTCTGGTGCTTTTTCAGGTTTCTAGAGATTGTGAATTTTTAAAATCAATCAATGTTCCATATCTCTTTATTAATTATAGAATGTTAGTTAATTGAATTGCATTAATGTTATTAAATTTTAGTTACTTAATCAAATCCTTGAATAACAGAATAACAATTATATATGAATTAATCATTTTGAATTAACCTTTAAAACTATTGGAAAGCAGATATTCCAATGTGTGAGCACCACTTCCAGATTCTTACCAAAAGTCATGTGTTATATTTGGAAAATCATGATTTTTTTCATGATAAATACTGCTTTTAAGTAACAGGATTTTCAATGATGGATGTTTGGTATATTAAATATTGTAACAGATTATTACAGTAGACATAACAAACATATCCCAGTAGTTTCAACTGTCAACAACACCTTGTTATAAATGGAACAGTTTTCTGATATCTCAAAATACATTTGAAGACATCCTGAAGAACAGATTGTGAATCATGTGATCTGGTTACCTACAAGTGTTCCAAAACTTTGGACGAAAACACAAAAACATAAAATAAAACAATAGGGTCACTGTAAGTCGTACAAAAAAATTTAAACACTGCGATTGTTAGTTGCGAAAAGGGTTTAACTTTTGACCTTATTATATTTTTTTTATGGATGAAGATAAATACGGAGAGTGAAAGAAAGGGCAACAAGGCATGGTGTACTACAGATGAAGTTTCACATAACCCAAAATAAAAAATAACAAAGTTTGTGTCTGTCTGTTGGTGGTACAACATTTAAACTGATGTTACTTTGTTACTTGATGCCTGGTTCAGCTGTCTGCCATACACTTGATTCACAAATCTAAATCCTAATTCCCAATTTCTGTTCTCATTTCTTTTTTATTTTAAGCTATTTACACGTAATTGGTCTATATTTTATTACAATTTCATTTATTTGGCTTTCTATGGATCAGTTCTTGTCTTAAAGGAACATTACAAAATCATGAATATTCAGCAAAACCTGGCAGAAAATGTACATTCAAATCCTGTTCTTTGATTCTACACCAAAAAGTCTATAAAAATTGCCATGTAAAAGGGGTAAAAAGGGAAAGGTAGAGAAAAACTATAATCTGATTAAAACACAGATCCTATTTCTTTTCGATTTTTTTATAGTTCAAAATTTCGTTTTACTTGTCTTTACTACACTAGGATCTGGAAGAGTTGTTATCATTGATATGTTCTGGATGATGAGGGATTAGCAAATGAAAGTCTGTTACGGCGAGCTTTTGGCGTGAAGTGAACGGAACTGTGGGTAATCCACTAGAAACATCAATGCTGATAGGTTAATCCAATGTCTGACATCATAGGGTCAAAAGTCATTTGTATGACCCCTGACGCGACCTGCCAAACCAACAGGTCAGAGCTTCATGTAGTGTAGGCAATCTAAAGCATAAAAAACCAAACGAAATATAGATCTGTATTTTTAATCAGATTGGAAAAACTACAAATAGATCCGGATTACAATTGTAACCCAGATGTAGGAATTGAATGTTGTCCTGTGTCCTTGGTAGGTCTACCATCTTACCTGATAGGAAATGTTGGATCATATTCAAATTCATTGATAGCCTCTGGATAACCCATGATTACTATCTGTGCCTTTAACAAGTTAAAACCCAGTGTTTCATACTCTGGTGATTTATACACTGAAAAATAAAGCATGGGTTGATACAAGTAATATAAATGAAATGAAATGAGGTTTAACATCTTACTTTTCTACAGTAAATGGAATAATGAAGGTATGTTTATGTCATGCAGTTTTCTATGAGGAGAATTTCAATTGCTCGGACATTGCCAAAAAGGTATTAAAGATGGAAATGAAATGAAATAGGGTTTAATGTCCTACTTCTCTGCTCCATCCAGGCTAATGAAGACGGGCCTACTCTTAATTTGAATTCCAGCTGTCAAGGGTTCTTTTACGTGCACGCCAAAGTGTACATGGGACCTTGGTTTCTTGTATCATCCGAATGACTAGACAATGTTCCTTTCCAGTCCCTCCATCTTCACTCCAGAGAAGGGGGGGACCACGCCACAAAATCCTGAGGAAATATCTCGACCAATACAGAGATCCAACCAGGGGACCCCATAGTTAGTGAACCAAAGCCCTGGTATCAATAAGACACCATGGTTTCCTAGTAAAGACAAAAGCAAACAACAGCTTTGCCTTTTAAATCTTTTTTCCCCTTGGTGTCTGAAGCCTCTTATACAATTATTGTCATTTGAGAGATTTTGAATCAGTATTGTGAAAGTTGAATCTCTAAAGAGAACACTAGATCAAAAATCTCTGAAAAGAACACTAGTCCAAAAATAGTTCAATTCTGTTCAGAATTGACAAAGATATGTTGAATTGATAATTTAACAATATTTGGCATCCATTGAAAATGATATCAGCCAAACTGATTGAATCCAAGCCAAAACATTACCTGCCATTTATATTTCGATTTTGTTTTCTTAATTAAATGTTGAATTATCAATTTGAGTACATTTTGGCATAGATGAGCTGTTAAAAATTTGATATTGTCCAGAAAAATCAAATGACAATATATATGTAAGATCTTTGAATTTAAGAGTCATTCCATGAGAAAACCATGCAATATCATGCAGATGTTCGAAGGTAGGGGTTGGCCGTTTTGACAAAGCGGGTTGCCGAAAAACGTAATCGGACTGTATCTCAGAAACGGTTGATTTCTAAAATCGGCAATTTTGGCTGGTGAGTAGGCTCAATGGGTTGACCAAACTTTGTAAATATGAACTCAATCGGCCGACACCCACCTTCGAACCTTCTGCATGGTTTTCTCATGGAATGGCTCTTAACACCTTGGGAGATGGTACCTATCATTATGTAGCCCTTTAACAAAATCTGGAAATAAAGAACCTATTGCATTGTCAGGCACAATCCCTCTGGTGCCAGACATTTTGTCTGGCAGAGATTTGGTTTCTTCGTGATTTTAATGATATTAATATATATCTGGCACCAAGTTCAAAATGTCCAGTAAACTATACTAATAATCGTGACTGCCACTTGTCTGTTTGTTTGTTTGTCTCTCTGTTTGTCTGCCTGTCGTGGTTTGCGGCTACACTAGGGCTGTCCCTAGGCTGAAATTTGGTGTATAGGGCTAGATCGGACCGGGGAGTGACGTGGGCTAGTTTTCGGAGTTATAGGCACAACCCATGCAGCGCTGAGTCATACGCTATTAGTTCAATAAAATAGTTATTTCAAGGCCTGTTTCAATTTAATTCTTCTTGAAAAATGTTTTTAAGTCTAAAATAATGGGTAGAAATTATGCTAACAGTATGTACAAATATACCAACAAGGTTGCAAATTCTGTGAAACTGACAAAAGAAATCACTCTAAAAATTTACAAGTACTTATCTGTATTTTCCATTATTTGTATAAGATTTTGTACGTAAATATGAAAAAGCATTTTCTTATTCTTGGATTACATTTCTACAAAACAATCCAACTTTTCTTAAGGATATATACATGTAAAGAAAGTTGTATTTAGGTGAAAGCTGAATAAACAGTGAACACCCTAAACCTGAGGTTAAAATATATAGAAGTAGGTTTCCGACATCTGTTGGTCAAATAAAGGCAAATAAGTACACGGAATAATATTGTGTAAATTCTATTTAATATAAGATGAAAAGATATGATACACAATATAAGATATGCAATGAATTTGACCAATGGATTTTGTATTTTTCCAGCTGGAAAGACTAAGAGCTGCATGCACCACCCTTATTTAAGTGCACAAAATATATCATCTACTAATTAACGTCAAATAAAACCACTGACAAGGGCAATAACAAAGGTCTACAATATTTTGAGTGAATATATCTCAATTAATTACATATATGGAGTTAGGTGAAATTTGTTTTTGGTTTATCAAAACACAAAACCTTCAAGCATATTCAATTTTCATGGGTTTTTTTAATATAGCCATCTTCTGGCGCATTACATCTGTAAAATCAGTTCAAGTACTTTAGTTCATTGAGTATACGGGATAATTAATTACCAGGTAATGGGTTTGGTCAAGAAGGTAACTCAGTGCCTTCTAGACTGCTTTAAGCTTTGTCAGTACTACAGGACACCAGGCCTGGGAAGGAAAAGCATCTAGGTGTTCTATAACATTGCCTTCCTAGTCGGTCACTTTTTACAATACGTAATTTTGTAGGAATATTATTGACATAAATTTGAATACCGTACGGGAATTAGACATGAAAAATAATGAGGTGCACCTATCTTTTATTACTTATGAATTTGAATATTTTGTTGACACTGATTCTTAGGTGTGGTTTGAAAACGCCTGCTTAAAGGAGCTAAATCGCTAATATTTGGGACCTAGGAATTGACCCAAATTGGTCGCAACGCATATAATAATGTAATCTGATTGTATATAAACTGATTTACATTCAATTGTTTCCATTTTGACTCTTAATTTCAAATCAGTTATGTGCAGCAAAATACGGCCTGTGTCTCAACCCTATAGCAATTTCTAGCGTCTGGTTATTCCAGTCTATTGAGCAGGTTCTCCAGTTGAATATGTCTAGCCTCGTTCTTTCTGATCACTTGTTGCAATTGACGCTAAAACGCACTATGGTACACGATTCGTGTACCAATGGTAAAATGTTTATTTTGTCTTAAATATTGGATATCAGAAGCCTGTCTTTTCCTGGTAAGATCACAACATCAGTGTTGATTTGAATTGACAAATAATTCGTATTTTCAACATGTATGACTTTGGATGATATTGAGTTAGGGACTTAGCTACTTTAAATAAGGATAAGAGTTTATTTTCAGGAAAAAATGTCCGACAAGAAAAATTTTGATATCCCATCACTGCTTTGGTGTGACTACTGACCAAAAAGAACACTCTTGTCAGTCCTTGTCAGTGATTAGTAGGACCCCACTTCATTAACCCTTTTGCCTTGGTGCAAAAAGTTAGATGTTAAACCCCATTTCATTTCAGCAGAAGTATTGATCATATATGTACAGCAGCTGTATGTAAATTATTGATTCCATACTTTTCTAATAAAACTTTATTACACAATATTATTACCATAACAGAATTTTTAGATATTATTAATAATTGACCTTTGTAGCGAAAAGTACTAGTTGACTAGTACCAACAATAATTCAACTGAGAGAGAACAAAACTGAATAGGAAGTCATGGCTTATGATATGAAAAAAAATGTATCCATCATCATATTTTATACATCAAATTTTCCTTTATTTCCAGTAAGAATGTCTTCACTTTCTTTGAATTTCTATATTTTCATAATAATAGGAGTTAAAGGTGTAAGAATATAAAAAGATATTGGAAAATTTGTGGATTTATAATAACCCTGAGAAAATTTCCTTACAACTCAATAATTCTGAGAATATAATAATCATTATGTTGATATTATTGGGTGTTATTCAATGTTAATCCCCAGAACCCCTTACAACTCTATATCATATATTCATGGACCCTTATTTCTGTTTTACAATACATCAGGTGATTTTATTGAGCTATATCTAGGTTATCCAGGGGCCAGTTCAAGCCTTAAATAAGTTAAAACCGATTGGACTTTAAAGTCAAAAGAGTAAACAATCTTTACTATTAATTAATATATTTGAAAGCACTCTTACCTACAAAGCAGAAAATTTCAAATTCTTATGAAACCTTTAGGCATCAAAATTAAAACTATCAAAAGAGTAAACAATCTTTACTATTAATTAATATATTTGAAAGCACTCTTACCTACAAAGCAGAAAATTTCAAATTCTTATGAAACCTTTAGGCATCAAAATTAAAACTATCAAAAGTTAATTAATAAATTTGAAAGCACTCTTACCTACAAAGCAGAAAATTTCAAATTCTTATAAAACCTTTAGGCATCAAAATTAAAACTCTGAAAAGTTTATTCCCATCAAAATAATAACTTTGAACAATCTTGAAAATTGCAAAATGGTTTTCGAAGCACTCTTGTATAAATCAAAATTAAAAGTCTAAAAAGTTTATTCCCATCATAATAATAACTTTGAACAATCTTTAAAAGAAAATTGCAAAATTGTTTTCAAAGCACTCTTGTATAGATAAAAATTTCAAATCTTTTTTTTTTTTTTAATTTTTATATCAAAATAAAACTTTAAAAGTTGGTTTCTCATGAGAAGCTCTGTTGTTTTTTTTAATATCTAGAATACAATAAGACTTAATGAACATAAAAAAAAGCTGTAACTGATAAATTTTATCTCCAAGAAATTGTATAAGTACAATTAGGGCCAAAAATGATTTGTGCTTTTTGCAACGAACTTCATAATAAAAAAAATATAACTTCCAGTCCTTATTGCAATTGAAACAGAGTATGTAAAATTTTAAAGACATTCATGAACGACATTATTTCAGTAAAGCAGATGTTTTTCAGATGCTTCTCTTCAAATTAAACAATTATACCTACAATTCACCTAAACTATTAGAAAGCTTCTCAAAAAAAAAATCTGACACCTACTTAAAACAAATTATTTTATTCATGACAAGTTTTTACAGATGGGTTTCATTTTCACTAATATATAATTTGGTATAAATTGTCTAAAAGATAGGTTGCCAAGTATTGAAACATACATCCACATGTATGTAATCTGTAAAGTGCACATAAGACATT